GAACCATGAGATAGATCATGACCTGAGCTGAAGTCAGACGCTTAACCAACTGAGCTACCCTGGTACCCCTCTACCTAACTTTTAGAATCAACTTATCAATTTACACCCACACTCCCAACTATCCCCAACTCAACCCAATGCTTGATTTACTGTATCTATAGATTAATTTTGGAAGAACTGACATCTTTTTAAAACAATTAAAAAAAATTAATCTATTTTGACAGAGTTCATGCATGTGTGTGAATGGGGAAGGGGCAGAGAGAGAGGGAGAGAGGGAATCCTAAGCAGGCTCCACACTGACGTGGGACTTGATCCCACTGAACTGTGTGATCATGACCTGAGCTGGAATTAAAGAGTTGGACGCTCAACTGACTGAATCATCCAGGTGCCCCTCTACTTTTATTTTTTTTAACGGAATGCTTACAAATGCGCCCTGTCAGTTTTAGGAGATTTGCTGAGAACTGTGCCCAAGAATAACCATCCTATTTTCTCATTTTTCTGACTGTCATTATGCATACCTGATTCTCATTTCCCCTTTTCTTGGTGTTTGGGCTCAAAAAAAAATCTAAAACTTGCTTTAAATATTTTTTTCCAGATGGTTTTGAATTATGTGAATTTTTAAAAAGTTCAATATGGTCAAAATACAGTGCATGTACACATGATGGAATATTATTCAGCCTTAAGAAGGAAAGACATTTCGAAATGTGGGTAAATCCTGAGGACATGCTGAGTGAATTAAGCCAGATGCCAAAGGCCAGGTACTGTAGACTCTACTTTCATCATACTCCCCCGGAAGCATCTTATTCATAGAGGTGGGAAGTGGTGTGGTGGCTGCCGGGAGGGAACGAGAGGCCCCCACTTCATGGGAATGGAGTCTCAGGTTAGGAAGACGGAAAGGGCTGGAGGTAGATGGCTGTACAACCACGTGAATACTTACTACTTCTGTACACTTAAAAATGGTCAAAATGGTACATTTTATGTTATGTATGTTTTACCATAATAAATGTGGTATGTAAAGATACTATAAAGGAAAAGAAAATAGCTTCACAGAGAATATATTGCCCAAAATATTTCAGACTCCATAATGTGATAAATCTAAAAGGGCCACGGAGAGTCCGATTCAGTGCTCTTATTTAAACAGGAGGAAGCTGAGCCCAGGGCAGGGAAGCAACTGCTCATGATCACAGGGGCGCTCAGAGCAGAGGAAGGACTGGACCCTAGGTCTCAGGGTCCATTCCCCCACACCAGATTGTGATGCTTCCTCTATGGTAATTTCGTGCAAATGGAATCCATTTCTACCGTGCGCTCAGTCACAGGTACCATAGCCGTAAGGCTCATTAATGGCCCTGCAAATCCCAGAAGATTCTCTGAAAAATCACAAACTAGCAAGAAGCATTACAAATATCAATACGGTTCAGTTCCATATGCCCTTGCAATTGCTCAAGAGGGCTCTGGGGCCCAAAGATAAATCATCCACTGTATGGAGTAATCGGGAAGAGAATGAAGAGCAGGAAGACGTCTCCTTTCCTATTATCAGCACCAGCAGTGAAGATCATCTAAATTCAGGATCTAGTACCTTTGTGGCCAAGCAGAGGCAGCTGAGATTGGGCTAAATCTTAGCTTTCACTTACACAGCTTTTGTTAAAGCTGGGATTACAGCCGCTAGGAGACTTGAGTCAGAATCTGTCCCCGTCTTTGTGAACTTCCCGATTCCTGTGGCTCTGCTGCCTGAGTAATCATGCCTCCAGCTATACGACTGCTTGGGTTTCTAAGCCCAGACACTCAGGGCAAGCAGGGGCCCTGCTAAACCTGAACTTCACGTGGGACTCCATCACGGCTCACACTGCCCTTCCGCTCCTGCCCATGCCCGCTCCTAGGCTGCGCTCCCTTAATCACCCACGCCCGTTTGCCTTGTACAGAGAGGAAAATTCCAGCTTCACAGATGCTTTTCTCATCCGCGTCTCAAAGCAGAAGTTAATACTGGCCAAACTGATATTTTTCTGAAGATATGGGCTTTGAGTCTGAGCTGATTATTTTAACATTCTTTTAAAGAAGACAAAGTCTGAGGAACATACATACGATGTTGGATTTCTGTGACAATATGAAAAGACCATGGTTACCAGACACTAAGTCAGCTAGCACGGCTTGGGCGAAGCTGCACACTCACGAAAACATGTTTCTAACCAGTCTACTTCATGTTCCAGTGGCTTCACCAAGTCTAGACACAGGAAGCTAGTAACTCAGAGAACTCCACAAAGCTTCTCTCAGACACACGGACAGTCTTCCACATCCTCTCTGAATACACGCAACAGTGAGTGAACAGAATGAATTCCCAGTGACACCAGAGATGTGCCGGGGCGTTATCCTGCTGTTTCCAATGGAGAGAACTAGTCCCACGCCTATGACATTCCAGACTCAAGAAACTCTACAGTCAGGCACGGTCCGTCAGCCTCTGAATCCACTCACCCTCCCAGGAAGCCTTCTGAGACAAGGCTTTTGACTGTGGCTTAAAAGCTGGTCAGCCAGATAACCCGCGGCAAGTATCAACCAGATGGCAGTATGAGGGGAGGTGTGCACTGAATGCAGAAACAAGTCACGTCCTTGGTCTAAGAAAGCTTAAATTAATAAGAGCTGCCATTTGTTGAGGGCTTACCACAGGCCAGACATTGCATCACTTTCTGTGCCTTGTCTTCTTAATCCTCACAACTATTCTGTAAGGTGCTCCTATGATGATCCCCATTTTTTTTTTTATGTTTTATTTATTTCTAGGAGAGAGAGAGAGAGAGAGAGAGAGAGAGAGAGAGAGAGACAGTGTGAGCAGGGGAGGGTCAGAGAGAGAGGGAGTCACAGGCTGAAACAGGCTCCAGGCTCCGAGCTGGCAGTCAGCACAGAGCCCGACGCGGGGCTCGAACCCACGAACTGCGAGATCATGACCTAAGCGAAAGTCAGACGCTTAACCGACTAAGCCACCCAGGTGCCCCTGATGATCCCCATTTTGTAGCTGAGGAAACTAAAGTGCTGGGGGGTCTATCTAAGTACAAATGGTTGCTATGTTGCAGAGATAGGATTCGGCTTCAGACCTCCACGATTCCAGGACCCCAGGTCTTAATGCTCACACCATACTGTTTTTTTCCATAACTCAGGAAGGCCATCCGTTTACAAAGAGTATAAAAGTAGTTGGGAGGGGCGCCTGAGTGGCTCAGTCGGTTGAGCGTCCGACTTTGGCTCAGGTCATGATCTTGCAGTTCATGAGTTCGAGCCCCACGTTGGGCTCTGTGCTGACCGCTCAGAGCCTGGAGCCTACTTCGGATTCTGCGTCTCCCTCTCTCTCTCCCCCTCCCCTGCTCATGCTCTGTCTCTTAAAAATAAACATTAAAAAAAAAAAAAAAGTAGTTGGGAGTTCTTGTATAAAAGTAATTGGGAGTTCTTTCAATTATAAAAAGTAACTGGAGGGCGCCTGGGTGGCTTAGGTGGTTAAGCGTCTGATTTGGGCTCAGGTCATGATCTCATGGTTCATGGGTTCGAGCCCCGCGTCGGGCTCTGTGCTGACGGCTAGCTCAGAGCCTGGAGCCTGCTTCGGATTCTGTCTCTCCTTCTCTCTCTGCTCCTCCCCCACTTGTGCTCTGTCTCTCCCCCTCTCTCAATAAACATTAGAAAATTAAAAAAAATAAGTAACTGAAATTGGTTAAATGTTGCTGTATAAAGGTCTAGAGAGAATTTACTTTACTGAATATATGAGAATCATTTATCAGTACATGAACAGTTTGCATCTAAACATGTTTTTCAAGAACTAGGGGCTGAATATTATTGTTTTTGTTTATTTGTTTTAATATTTATTTTTGAGAGAGAGAGAGAGACAGAGCATGAGTGGGGTAGGGCAGAAAGAGAGGGAGGGGCAGAGAGTGAGGGAGACACAGAATCCAAAGCAGGTTCCGGTCTCTGAGCTGTCAGCACAGAGACTGATATGGGACTCGAACCCACAAACCATGAGATCGTGATCAGACACTTGACTGAGCCAACCAGGCGCCCCTTATTGTTTTTATTTTTATTTATTTAAAAAATTTTATTATTGAGAGACAGAGAGAGACAGAGCATGAGCTGGAGAGGGGTAGAGAGAGAGGGAAACACAGAATCGGAAGCAGGCTCCAGGTTCTGAGCTGTCAGCACAGAGCCCGACATGGGACTCGAACTCAAACCATGAGATCATGACCTGAGCTGAAGTCAGATGCTTAACTGACCGAGCCACCCAGGAGCCCCTCTTTGCTTGCTACTTTTAAGAGGTCTCAAAAATAATCAGTCTCTCTGCTCCTTCTGCCTGGACCCTTTTCTCCTAGTCCTTTCAAACCCAAGCTCTGGAAGAAGCCTTCTCTGAGCATCCACTTTAAAGCCAATACTCCCAAGATGCCTGGGTGGCTCAGCTGATTAAGTGTCTGACTCTGATTTTTGGCTCAGGTTGAGATCTTGTGGTATGTGAATTCGAGCCCCACATCGGGCTCTCACATACTGGTGTAGACCCTGGTTGGGATTCTCTGTCTCCCTCTCTCTCTGCCCCTCCCCTGTTTGCTCTCTATCTGTCTCTCTCAAAATAAATAAATAAACTTAAAAAAGATAAAGCCATTACTCCCTCGTGCCCCTAAGAGAATTCTTTCACAGAACATAGTTTTATGCCGTTTAGCATACTTAAGTTAAAATCATCTTCTAGTTTGTTACCTCATATATAATCTGTCTCTTCTTACTAGAATGTGAGCATCGTGAAGGAGAGGTCTTTTCTGCCTTATTCACTGGGGTATACCTAAACCCAGCACAATGTCCGTGTACTTAGTAGATGCTCAACAAAAATGTTTTAAATGAGTGGCTGAGTTAGGCTGCCAGGTCCTTCTTTTGTCCCCAAACAGAGGAAATGAGCAGTTTTATTTCTCCTGCGTAAATCCCTACTAGAAAGATGTGTTTGCTCTCTGACAAAAGCCAAAAGGAAAAGGCCTTATATCAATTCATCTCACCTGTTCTGCTCCCACCATGCTAATCGGCTTGCACTTGAAGAGGTGGGTGATGAACTTGGGAATGAAGGAGCTGTGGATAAAAAAAAGGGGGGGGACAAATTAGGCTTAATTCTCTCTTTGGTAAAGGACTGCAGAAACTTTTGTTTTGTTTGTTTTTTTGAAAGTAGGCTCCATGCCCAGCACGGAGCCCAACTTGGGGCTTGAACTCTTGACCTTGAGACCAAGACCTGAGCTGAGATCAAGAGTCGGACGCTTAACCAACTGACCACCCAGGTGCCCCCAGAAACTTTTTTTTTTTAAGACCTTATTCCTTCTATAAAAAAAATTGAGAAATTGACGTAGAGGCTACTGTGGCCTCCCAGCATCCATTGCTTTCTTTTTCTTTCCAGCCAAAGTCCTGGTTTTACTTAACGTGGTCTTGAGGTGATGGGGAAAAGTTGATCCCTCCTCAAGTGCAGAGGTGACTTCTAATTGGCCTCAGGCGGCCAGAGCGTGGCATTCCCTTGTTGACTGCTGTTGGTCCTGAGAGGGGACACGATCCACGCTGGACAATCTGACTGGAGGAAAGGACCTCATTGCATGGTCTGGGCAAGACTTTCTCTCCTTCTTCAGGGTATTCTGGTGTCTGAATAAAACATCTAGAGTGGCCATGTTACTACCATTCTAAGGATGAAGCCAGCCTCAAGGAGAGCAGGGGAATATGGAACGTGGGTCCTTAATGACATTGCCGAACCACTGAATCATCCATCTTTGGATGTGTCCTATTTGGATGTGTCTGATCTCCTGGTTACAAGAAATACAAAGTTCACCTGATGATGCTTCAGTGAGATTAAGTCAGGGCTTCTGTTATTAGCAGCTGAAAATCACCCTGACGGACATAATACTGACATAGTTATAGGATGTCAAATGCAAAGACAGGAAGTAATTGCTAAGGGAGTAACTGTCAGAATAAGGGGGAAAATACATGATCTCTGAAAAATTTACCAGGGACTAAAGGGCAACTGGTTTGGGGAAAGGAAGGAGTAATTTTTATAGATCACAAGGCCTTTTTTAGAACCAACTGCACGGCCTGAGTAGGGAAAACTGAGTTGTACTGGTACAGAACGCAAGGTGTGGGAACTAGAAATGCCAGATCAAGGCCAGATCTAGACCAGGCTGGCCAGCGGGACACAGGGCCCATGAAGGAACGATGAGAAAACAGGATGTGGAGGTCAAGATAAAGGCTGGCTGGCACCCTCATCGCCTACTCTTCAAAAGCTGCTCTCAGGCCTGTGGCTCCACCCACCCTCTTGGGCCTCTCTGTACTCTCTCCTGGACACTGCACCCGCTCTAATACCCGCCCAAGTACTGGCCATCTCGCTGGAACGGCACTCCCCTCAATTCCAGCACAGCCAGGACTCGGCCCCACCCTGGAACCCAGGCTCAGCGGGCCTGATCTCTTTACCCAGAATCCAGGGGTTAACCCAACACGGCCCCTCAGCCTTCCTTCCCAACATCCAACCAGCCCCCAGCCCTTCCCCTGCACGCCTTACCCACCCTCCTGACCATGCTCACCACGGCTGCCCCTCCCCTTCCCACCTGAGCTCTTACCCCAGTTTCCTAACTGGGCTCCCTGCCTTCAGCCTCACCAACTGTCAAAGGGATTTCTTTCAGATGCCAGTATGCTCAAGACCCTTCCCTGATTAAAATTCTTGAAATGGCTGCAGACACTGCCTTCCTTGACTGTCCTGGCTCTCTGTCCCTAGCCTTATCATGCTAAGCTGTGGCACCCTGTGCTTGATTCTGCAGGCCATTTACTGCCACTTAGACTTTGCTTCCACTGCGCCCTGTGCCCAGAGTGCCCTTCCCCACGGCCTTGTGGGTCAGTGCCCACACAGCTCTTGCACCTGATCCAGGACCTCTCTCCTTATGAAGCCTCTCCTCAGTCACCTCCCCCATCCTCTACACAAGAGTTCACAGACCTCTAGCCTAGCACAGAACCTCCCTCACTATATTACTTGCTTACATGTTTATTTCCCTCCACTTGACTGTAGGGTAAATGAAGACAGGGACCGTATCTGTTAAACCAAAGCACTTAATTCTACATCTGGGACATAGAAGGTGCTCAAATGACTGCATGTTAAAGAAAGGATCAATAATAACAAATTAAAACGGTAGGAGCTACCACTGTCTGAATGTCAGCTTGGTACCAGCATGGAAGTTTACACATGACTTCTCATTTTATCCTCTCAACCACTATTAAGGGATTTGTTTTATGATTGCCATTATTGAATGGAAGAGAATTGGCTTAGCGAATGAGGGAAGTTGCCTGTGGTTCAGATAGTTTTAATCGAGTGGTGATCGTGATATCGAAACAGGAAAAGCTGTTGTTGCTTCAGCGACCAAACGGAGGCAAAAGGAACCATTTATGGCTTTGCATTGGTGCAATAAGAAAGGAAGTTAAAGGGAAAGAAACCTAAACTCTAGAGATCTGATCTAGGGGGAGGCCTGCTGATCAGGAGATACAACAGGGGCTCTATAGGAGGGATTCTTCAAGGGCACCTGGGTGGCTCAGTCAGTTGAGCTTCCGACTTTGGCTCAGGTCATGATCTCACAGTTTGTGGGTTCGGGCCCTGTGTTGGGCTCTGTGCTGAGAGCTCAGAGCCTAGGGCCTGTTTCAGATTCTGTGTCTCCCTCTCTCTCTGACTCTCCCCTGCTCATGTTCTCTTTCTCTCAGAAATAAATAAAAAAACATTTAAAAAAAAAAAAAAAAAAAGAGGGATTCTTCAGTGCTCTACACCAGAGCCAGGCCAAACAAAACACATGAGATTGAATTCGTGACTAATCACAATGGTACACAGTTTATAACCTAAGTTACTTCTCTCTAGAGTAGCTTGGGTTGTACCCTTGAATTGGCTCTGTGTGCTAGTCCACAAGGGTGGGGTGGGGAAAACTTAGGGACCAGAAACATGTCCTGGTGGGGAGAGGTCCCGGCGATGTGATGGGTAAGTGCCCAAGGCTGTTCGGCCCCATGGGGCAGTGCTGGCCACTGCTCTTGCTGCGGAAGGATCTTCTCACAGCGCCACCTCTGAGGTTTCCAGTCTTTTGCTGGGATTTACAAGGATGAGGAGTACCATGGATTAAATCAGAAAACTGCTTTTTCTATCAGAGGTTAAACTTCCAGATATGAGAGATGGGCATCCTCTTCCTAGCTCATCCAGTAGAAGCTCAGCAAGAAAATCAAAGGGCTCTGAGAGAATGTGAGGCTGATGTCGGGACCAGCTTAGTAAACGGACTCACTATGCTCTTTAACATTGGTTCAGACCTCTGTGCAACCACCCTGGAGATCCTGAGCCACAGTGAAATTGTACGGAGACATTGAATCCACCAAGGGCACAGGCGGTGTCACGGTGTAATTTATCAGCAATGCCTTTAACGCACACTGATGAGCGCTCCGAGGCTGTAGGGAATGTCAGTTCCCGGGTCACTGGCCACACTGCAAACGTTAATGACTCCCTGGGGAGGCTACCTGATCCTTCTTGACAAACTGGAAATGAAGCTACTGCCACAAGGCCTCCATAACTGTTGTTCCTTAGGGTTGGTTTGTGAGGGAGAGAGAAGGCCTTAACTGAATACGAACCGGGGGAGATTTGGGGAGGACAGAAACTTGAAGCCCTAAATCCCCCTTCGGGACTTGGACAAGGACAGCCTAAATACAGTAGCTTGGAACGGGCCAACCTTCCCGGAGCCCTTCGTTGCGGTGTGTGCCAGAACGCCTGTCTGCTCGAGGGCTGGAGGCGGCACTGACCCTCTCTGGTGCCTGGTTTCGGGGGAAACGAGGCTAACCGGCACAGGCCCAAACCATATCCCCACTTCCGAACATCAAGCCAGAAATGGCCACACACGAGGATGCAGCAGCAGACAAGCAGTGCCATGTTCGCTTCATCTCCTTTGGCAGTGGAGCTCCCCGACTTGCTCTTCCCAATTTCTAGTACCTTCCCTGGGATCGGGATGTCCAGAAGCAGATCAATTCTGGCAGCCCCAGTAATAAGTACTATGGGGAAGGAGGAAGAGAAGGCTTAAAAGAAGTAGAACTGACCCTAAATAGAGTTTAGAATCTAGTTGGAGAGACAAAAAACATAAGAAATGAAATCACTGAAAAATATTTTTAATTATCCAAACCTGTGGGGAGGCAGGGGCACTGTTATGTCCACATAATCCCAAAGAACAGTCTCCCCAGCTCATCTGAGTGTGTCTTCCTGTGGCTGATGACCATGTTGCTGTCGCTGTTGTCTGCGACTTCAAGCAGTGCACTTGGAGGCACCAGAGCAAACCCCCGCTGGGCAGTGGGACCCCGGGACCATGAGCATGCTGCTGCTGAGGGCGGCCCGCAAAACAGCCCCGCGATGGGAATGCTCCACGACTTACTTTGCAAATTTGATGCAGAACTGAGTAAAGTATTTCCGGGTGGAGGCCAGGTTGTCACGGATGATAGGGACATTCTGCTTAATGTGGAGAATGACAGAGGTGACATAAGGGCTCTGGTCCCCAACGTGCTCCACATTCTGCCACTGCATCTGAAAATGGGGATAGAGGAGGACAAGCCTTTAGATCCTTCTCAGGAGAACAGTCTTCCGTGTTACCCAGGACAGGGCAGGCGGAGTGGCAGTGAGGCCGGAGCTTGTGGTCGCGGCCGCCATTTTATTTCGGGCCGTTTGTCCTACCCCGTCTGTAGTGGCTGACGATGACCCACCTTGTCCTTAGCGGTGAGGTGTGACTCGGGTACCTTTTCCCGCCCGGAGCCCTCATGCTTGCACTGGCCTTCCCTGCCCAACCAAGTGGCCGACGTGCAAGGGAAGCCTCACCAGGCAGGGGAGCTGGACGGCACCGATGTGTCAACTGACCCACCAGGGGAGGACTGGGGGGAACCGGGGAGGCGCACCCTTTCTGAGCAGGCTGGTAGCTTGGGAGGTCGGAGGGCTGGCTGGGCTAAGTGCAATGAAACCTGGCCGAGAGTTACTCGGGCCTTTCACTCAAGTAAACTGTAAGGAGGTGAGGATTTGGAAAAAAGGGAGCAAGAAATGATAGGATGGGGGAGACATGCTTCAAAATAATCTAGGATCGGGAGGAGGAGATGAAGGGTTAGTGAAGCTGGGGGATGGGTCTGTGAGGTCTGTGATACTGTTTTCTCTACTTGTGTACAGAATGGAAGTCTTCCATAGTAACACATTCAAACCTTACCCATAAAACCTTCGAGATCATGCAGGGCTCTCGGTCCGGGGAAAGGAAAGATGTCTGGGAAGTACAAGGGGGGCACAGGAGAGGGCAGGGCGGTGGCATGCGGACCAGGGCAGGCAGGAAGCACAGGGGCAGTGTGAACGGCAGGCGTGGGGCACGCCGGCTTCACAGAGAAGGACCTGAGCGGTCCCTGGGCAGGCCGGTGGCACAAACGAGGGACCCACTTGGCTCAAGCTCTAACCACCTGAGGAGAATCAGGAGAAACGCTCTGGAAAACATCTACACTAAAACAGGGCAAGAAGCAATACTGTGGGGCCTCTCCCCCCTTGGACATGTACAGGAGAAGAGAGGCAGTGGCGGCACCCAGCCTGCCCTGAGGCTGGCAGCAAACGGGCACTTTAGTCCTGAAAAGAGCAGGAATGTGCTGGAGGATTCTGCTGAGTCAGCCTCTCGGAACGGAGCTGGGCCGTCTATTACAAAGATCCTAAGCCAAACACTAACCATGTAATATGTTCGCAGAAGGGGGGCGGCAGCTCTGAGGCCTTGATGTCTCTGGCAAGAGAACACTATTTTATACAGCTCTTGGGGAAAGGAAAAATTCAATACGGAGGGAACTCGTTTAAAGGAATCATATTGTACATGGATGACTCCCCAGCTCCTGGGAAGCTCGAATGGCTCCATGGTTTGTCCTCATGTTTCTTCAAATCAGCAGATGTTTATATTTGAAAACTTTAGGTACGTGTGAGCATAGAAAAAAGCAGGAAGGAACCTCTGTCTTCATTTTAGAGATAAGAAAACCAAGGCCCAGAAACATGAAGTCTTATGAAGAGGTTTCACAACAAAGTGCCAGATAGAAAAAGGTCTCTAATTTTTCACTGGGGAAAATTAGGAACAAACCATGGAGAAACAGTAGAAGGTTCTACTATGAACCGACTTTATATTCTATTGCTTTATGTGTAATGTTTTTCTTATTATCTTTTTATCCTATGCAAAAGGCTTAGAGGCTAGAGCCTATTCAAAAGGCTCTAATCCTAGAGATTTGACCCACCTGAACAAAAAGCATCCTAGGTCATCTTACAGGAGCTCATGAGGTGAGGCCAGAATTGACAGATGCTGCTCCTGTCTGAACCTCACCCTCTCTTCCCTGGCTCTGCGGCACCGCGTGGAGCAGAGTGCCCTGTGGAAACACAGCAACCCGGGGACAGAGCCTGCTGCTCCTTCCTCCACCTGCCATGAGGCTCTTGCACAGAAATGACTACTGTTTTCCAGGTAGGCAACGTTTGACACTTCAACATCTCACAAGGTTAACACACAATTGTCTACACATTGTAGTTCTCCATTAACAGAAGACAACCATAAAGGGAGGTGGCGACGCACCGTGTCATTGATTACAAAGCAGCTCTGAAGCAAGATAAAGCGTGGGAAATGGACTTTTGAGTTCTCGCTGGTGGGCTAAGCCCTCTTATTGCCATGTCACATTTGGCCACATTTGGAATATATATGAAAAGATCTGATTTGGTTTAATAGTTAGCCGGTGATAACTCCACTGGTCAAGTTAAAAGAAGTATTAGTGGGGCGCCTGGGTGGCTCAGTCGGTTAAGTGTCCGACTTCGGCTCAGGTCATGATCTCATGGTTTTTGAGTTTGAGCCCCACGTTGGGCACTATGCTGACAGCTCAGAGCCTGGAGCCTGCTTCGGCTTCTGTGTCTACCTCTCTCTCTGACTCTCCCAGGCTCGCACTCTGTCTCTCAAAAATAAATAAACATTAAACAAATTAAAAAAAAAAAAGTGTTAGCAAAAGTCAAGTAGATTTGTGATTTTAAATTTAAGTCAGCTTAATGACATAAGAAAACTATTCATTCACTTACTTATTTATTTATTTATGAGAGAGGCAGAGAGAAAGGGAGAAGGAGAAAGAGAGAGTGACTGGGGCAGAGAGAGAGGAAGAGAGAAATCCCATCAAGCGTGGTTTGATCTCACAAACTGCAGGATCATGACCTGAGCTGATACCAAGAGTCAGATGCTTAACTGAATGAGCTATCCAGGTGACCCATGTCAGAAAATAGTTTAAAGTACTAGAGAACAATGAAAGTTGACACCGGCATTACTATTTAAAAAACCCTGCAAAATGTAATTAGCAGCGATTCTGTCCAGTCACTGCCTTAGATGGTTGATGCTTGCCATCACCTGTCCCAGATGACTTGGGGGAGAAGCTGTGACCTGAATGGCCCAAGACACTGATGTTAGGACCCACCATACGCAGGTCACTTTGCCTGGTGCTTCGTATACATTATCTCACTTACTATTCATGCATGAGCTCCTTTGGTGAGGAGGAAAGTCAAAAAGCTCAACAAGGTTAGGGAACTTGCCCAGAGTCACATGGCTGGTAAACAATAGTGTGGAGACAACCCAAGTCTGTCTAAAACCCAAGCACTACAACACCAGGCTGTTTCCCAGATGATTATTTAAAAAAAAAAAAAAAAAAAAAAAAGGGAACAAAAGCACTTCCTGGGCCTTAATGCAAGCCAAGCCCCGTTTCTCAGGCAGAAGCTAATGAAATACATGGTGTTCAAAACAAAGTTCTGTGTCAAAAAAGGAAACAAAAAGTAGCTTGCACTGGAAGAACAAACATCATGAAAAGCCATCAGGAGAAATAAGGTTCCGACTTTTCCAGGTAAACTCTGCATTTGACATTCACCCCTCTAGGGACACCTGCCTGCTTCAGTTGGAGAAGCATGTGACTCTTGATCAATGGTTGTGAGTTCGAGCCCCATGCTGGGTGTAGAGGTAACTTAAAAATAAAATCTTTAAAAAAAGAATTTACCCCTCCCTACTTAAAGTCGCCCTCTTGTGCTTTTAGTGTAGGTGGGGTTGCATAATACTGCTACTATATGAACAACAGGAAAGACAGTTTGCAAAAGCAGCTGTAACTAAGATACAGGATGGAGAGAAACGGCACCCAAGGAAATGGTCACACTTAGCTACAGGGGAGGCTGTGGGGCCGGGGGCACAACCACGGTTTCTGCCACCTGAGGAGGAGTGTGTGACTGATGTTAATGCTTCACAGGCAGGGCTGAGGAGATAATCGTAGACAGAGCTCCCTGTAGCACAGAATTCTGACCAACCCACCAATTGGAGAGCAGAGCTCCAAACTAGCTTACTTTGGAACATGGTTTTCTCTAGTGCTATATGAAGTTGGAAAGAAGCCTCCTGAGCAACTAATTTTCCCCGAATTCAGATTCCCACCTGTTCATTTGATCATGGGACTAGAGAGACACAGAACATAGACTGAGGCATGCGGATTCTGGGGACACTTCAGGCAGATGGAGAGTAGGGTTATGGTGTGGGCTGCTGGGCCACTGGCCCCAAGCACCGACGTCTGCCTAGGCACACACACATACTCTACAGCTTGTCTGGGGTTACTTTTACTCCTACAACAAACATCTGTGGCATTTATAGCTTCCTTGTGCATGCAGAGCACTGGATCAAGCACTGTGTGGGGAATTAAAAGGGGGAAGGAATGTTTTTTGAGCACGTACTATATACCGAGCATCATGTGGTAGACATCTCCACATGAACTTCCTGCCTACAATAACACAGTAGAGGAGGCTTTATAGGTAAGACAGGCGTGAGGACAGTGATTTGCCCAATGAGCAAAACTGAGAAGTTAGCAGGGCTAAGATCTAAAATTGGTTTGTCTGACTCTGAAATCAATGTTTTTTCCATTTTACCATGTTGCTTTCCAAAAGAGTATTCCCACCCTAAATGAACTTGAAATTAGCTGAAGGAATTGGAGCAGGCAGAATCTGTGTATGGGGCTGTACGTGTGCAGGTGATGTGGTAGTGGTGATGGCGGTGCTGAGGAAGAGGATGCGCGTGCCTGGACTCCAAGGGGCAAACCAAGAAGATCCAGAATAGAAACAAGTAACAAAGGCTCTAGGATGATAAATACATACTTTTTTTTCCTACTCACTGCTAGGCTGATGGGAAGGTGAATTTGTATAACCTTTTCTTAAATACAATTTGAAAATATCTACCAAAAGTCTTGGCATTTTACACAGCTTTTGATCTCTCCAATTCCCTTGAAGGCAATGAATCTGAGGCTAGTAATTATGAGTGCTCAGAAAACACGCACATGCACACACCCACACATGCATACATGAGTTGTCCATTGCCAGACTGTTTAAATGTGAATAATTGGAAATAATGATCAAAAGAGAGTTGATGGCATACATTTTAAGGGAAGGACTCCACTGGAATACTTAAAATGAGGAAATGTGGAGTCTGCCAGTCCTGAGTTCTAAAACTGTGCAAGCTGCTAAGTGTGTAACTCAGGTAA